AGAAATAAAAGTTATCCTCCTTTTTTCATAGATCCTCTCCCACATTTCACAGTTCTCTGTATGCTTCATTTTTATAGAAGTAAGACAAGAGCAATATCTCTATATACTTTCCCAGTGCCCTTTTGCTGAGTTGGTCTGGGAACTGAAGACAAAGTTATCAGGTTGTACAGAAGCAGGAAGGGAAGGGATGCATCATCTTCTCCTTTTAAGGAGACTGAGAAAAATAATGTTGTATTTTATTCTGCTTCAGTACCCTAAGGATCATTCTGCATTTCAAGGAAATAAAATTGAGTAAAAGCAAGCAGATGTATAAAGCTGCATAATAGTAGTCATCTCCCACTCCTTCTGGATGGACAAAAAGCTGGGACCAATTCCTCCTGTGGAAAGGCAAGGCACATACCAACCTCAGATGCAACACTCTAAGAAAACAGGCATGTTTTCTCCTCCTGAGAACACAGTGGCCTCTCCCTAATGAGATCTTCTGTCCATGTCCATTTGTGGAAGTATTCCATGTGATTCTCCTTCCAGAAGAATGGGTGCTATGAGCTTAGCTCATAGCTTAGCTTAGCTACATAACCTTTTATATGAAATCCCATACCTACTCTAGAAGAAAATAATGGCATTTAGGTCATGATATCTCTGTCTTATATGGTGTCCATAATATACAACTTTTGTTTTATAAATAAGGGGGAAACAGTAGCCTTTCCCCATAGGTCCTGCAGTCAAGAATTTAGCTCTGAAACTGTGAAAAACAGGCATGTTACCAGTGCATTACATCAGATGGTAGTTTATTAACAAAAAAAGAAAATCACACATTGCCTTGCATGTCTGCCTGTCTTATGGAGTGTGACTGAAATGGGAAATTTTGTGGTTGAGATCAGATATAGAGGAGAATACAGAGAATCAGGCTACATGAAGGGGAAATAAGAAAAATGGAGGAGAAGACACACATAGTATGAAAGTGAAATATATTTGGGAATATAAGGACATAAAAGATCATTAGAGCAACCATTAGAATGTCCCCACCTTCCCAAGGTAATGAGAGCCTGAGTCTGCTTTTGCTCAGTTGTGCCCATTTCCAACCTACTCAGAAGTGTTCTTCATGGGATAACAATATGTTTTCTCTTAAATCCCATGAACAGGTCAGGTTCTCTCTTTTACAGGAATGCTTGAGCCAAACAATAAGAGTACCAGGACTGAAAAGCCTAAAGTCACCTTACATTGAAGAAAACCACATACAGTTTTATTTTTGTTCTGATCATTAAAAACAGGACAAAGAATGACAGCTTAGAAATAGGCTTGGAAACTCTGTGAGACCTGATAGCAGAAATTGAAATTCTGTTGCACACAAGTACTTATACTGAGATCTAGAGAGAGAAAGATATGTCTTTTAATTTATAGTTTTACTGTGAGATTGTGAGCATTGGGTGAAATTCAAAATTTTTTTACCTACAGAAAACAGAGCCACCCTAGCAGCACTTTTGTTCTGCCCTTACTAATGTAATTCTGAAGCACCAGTCTAAGCACCAGTGACTAAGTACTTATATGCAGAACATTAATTCTTTAAGTAGAAAATCTAAATTAATGGTCCAATTCTAAGTCCTCAGCACAGATACCCTTCCATATTGTACAGGTGATTGGAACTATTGGAAACGGGTAAAAGATTTCTAATGAAGTGTAAAACAGAGGCAAAAAGGTTTCTCTCTTAAGCAGAGAAACTCCTCTGGATGGTTTTAGACTAAGATTTATTTCAAGTGGTGACAGTGAAGACCTCTAATTTTCAGGCTGCTGGAAAAGGTTACTTTGCCTCCTTGGACATGTTAGGCTTTTCATGGCTTCACTCTTGTTTCCATTATGTTTTGACAGGTATGGAGGAGTCAGGACAGGAACATCGAGGTTTTACCACCTTGAAGCACCTGTTTTTGTGTTATGATTTGATGTGACATCTACTTCAAACTTAGGGAAAAAATACAGGTTTCTACTGCAGGCAAGTTAATAGTTGTGTGAGGAAACATTTTCTGAGAAAGGAAAGGGCTGGCCCCTCTCAGATATGTAGCAGTTCCAACTCTTGGCTGCCTTCAAAATCAATCAGCACTTTTGTGTAATTATGGGTTCATACACATTTTAAGGGACATTTAAAGTCCAGTATAAGGGACTATTAAAGACTTTACAAAGTAGATCCAATTAGACTGAGTTGCCCAGGGTTTGGTTGAGTTTTGAATGTCTCCAAGGATGACTATTTCAGAGCCTCTCTGGGCAGCCTGTTTCAGTGTCAGAGCACCCCATGAATAAATAGGATTTCCTGTTTCTAATCAGAATTGCCTTGTACCTGCCTGCATCAATTGCTTCTTCTTCTGCCACTGTGTCCCTTAGAAATGAGTCTGGCTCTACTACATCTATAACCCCTGAGAGGTGTTTGGAGACATCAGCAAGACTTTTCTTCAGGCTGAACCAGCCCAGTTCTCCTGCCCTCTCCTCTTCCTTCATGGTGCTGTCTCTCTGACCATGCTGGTGGCTGACTCACAGAGGGACTCCAGCCTACCAGTGTCTTTCTTGTGCTGGGGCACTCAGAGCTCTGTGTGGCACCAGAAGGAGTGAGCAGAGAAAAAGGGAAACAACTTGCCTTAGCTTGCTGGTCACACCCTTCCTGGAGCAGCCCAGGTTGCCACAGACACATTCCTGGTTTTTGCTCAATTTTGTTGTCCCAACAAAACCCAGGAACCCCAGGTCCTCTTCTGTAAAGCTGTGTTCTAGCTGGTCTGTCTCCAGCAAGTACAGGTTCCTGTGCTTTTTGCTCTCCCAGTTCAGGCCATTAACCTTTGTTGGGGTTTTCATGAGGTTTCTGATGGCCTATTTATACAGCCTGTTGAAGTTTGTCTGAATAGCACCCCTGTCCTCCAGCCTACCAACCACTCTCCCCGGTTTGAACTTCCTGAGTGTGCACCTCTGTCCCATTGCTCAGGTTGTTAATAAATAAAATGAACACTATTAGCTCCAGTATCAATCCCTCAGGCATGCAGCAGGTCACCAGCTGCCAGCTGAACTTTGTACAGTTGACCACAACCCTTTGAGCCTGATGAGCAAGCCAATATTTCACCCACCTTATCATCCACCTCTGTAAGCACATTTTGGTTATAGGACACTGTAGAAAACTGTCAAAAGAATTTCACTTTCTAGGAATGTTTACATTTTTCTATTTGAATTTCCTACTCTACACTCGAGTCTACTCTTTCTGTGTAGAATAGGTTTTAACCATTAAAATGAACTATCAGTCCTGATATTAACAGATATACCTTTTTGCCTTTGGTTTCCTTAAGTGTTGGTGGATATAGGCATTTCCAGGGGTAAATCAGTTTGCCAAGAGCAGAATTAACTCCAAGAGTTTTCTTTTTCTGGTAAGAAAAGAATTTTTTTTTAATTATTTCATTTAAGTCCCTGCTATGTCCCTTAACTCTTTTATTTTTATCCCCTTGTTAATCCCAAGTATTGTTGTCTTCATACACGGGGAGAGATGTCCTTGTTCCTAAAAAAAATAATTTTTCCTTAATTATTGTTTTAAAACCCTTGGTACAGCCACAGTAATTTCTTATCTTTGCTTTCTGTCTAACATCAGAGATGTTTGCTGTTCTCTCCATTTACAAAGCCCTTCAGTTAATGGTACCTTTCTGGCAGTCTTCTGTCATTTGAATTAAGTTTCCAGAAGACTCAATCTGCCAGTGTGTTACAGACTCAATCCTTGAGTGTGTTACAGTCTGGTTTATATTTCTTCTGATCCTTTGACTTCTTCCTCTCCTTACAATAACGAATTCTTCTCATGCAACTTCACCAGGCTTGCTTCCCACCTCTATGTTTTCAGACATTTTCTAGTGCCAATCAAATGGAGAATAGCCACTTCACCAGTAGCTTCTAATTTGCATGGCTGGGAAAACAGAGGGTTAGAAGGGGGACAGGGCAAGGGAGAAATCATTAGCAGAAAAATTTCCTGGAATAACTGTGCCTGTACTAGGAGATTTCAGCCTGTCTGAGGGCACTGCTGACCTTTAGAGCATGATCCTTTATGCCAGCAAACTGTTAAACTGTGCCCTCACTGGTGTGAGCTTGGCCCTTCCTAGCTAGTGCTTTCCCCAAATACTTCTTGGGGGCAGTTCAGCTCATCATCATTCTGGCAGTCATTGCCAATAGGTAGTTTGCTCACAGACACTGATTTGGAGCTAAGAGATTTTATCTAACTACAAACTGCTTTGCCTAAGTGGAAAAGAAAATTCTTAGATGTGCTTTATTCAATGGTATGTAAGATTGCTGTACTGTGTACGTTCACTTTTCCAACAAATTTGATGGCTCCGTCCATCATTAGTTTCTGTCTTTTGTAAGCTTCAGCTCCCAATTTGAAAAAAAACCCTCCTCCTCCTGGTTAAGGCTTCACAGATTTTTGTGTTTAAACAAGCCTGGATCTCATCTCTTGAGCTTCACAAAGAATATATACCTTCTTGGCATGAACCTTAACATTACTTCCACTGACTTGCATTTTTGCTGCTTTGTAAACAGGATGCATCTTTGTCTTTCCCAGGCAAAAGGATCTTTTAGCCATAACCATTACTGGAGAGCTGACTTCCAGTGGCTATCACAGCAAGTGAGATTTTTTGTTACTGTGATTGTATCAAAGGCAAGAAATGTCTTGAGGTTTTTCATTTATTTCTTTTTAAAAACATATGCACCTTATTTTCCTTTTCCTCTCTAAGATAGTTCAATAAAAATGAGCAGGAAGCAGGAAGAAGCTTAGAAGGAAAAAATTAGAATATGTCAAGATTTTTAAAGGATTTAAATATTTCAAAGAATATTTTTAAATGCAGAGTCCTGTTTTGATATAAATAATACAAGGATCCTGGAGAATGATTTGATAAAAATGGTTCTTGAACTCAATTCAACAAGTATACACACATACAAAGATGTCTCCATCCAAATCATGAATTTCCTCAATGAATGCATCATTATATATTTTATTTATGAATAATTTTAGTCACTGATATGCTTCACAGAATATTAGGGCAGAACTTCTTGAGTAATTTAAAGTCAGGGTACAAGACAAGACCAGAAACCAAACCCATTTAGTATTTTTAGGATCTGTTATTATTAGATCATTATGTTGAAACAAAATTACTGGGGACTTAATACTATTTTAAAATTATTTCAGAAGGATGTAGTCACTGTCTTATTATATTTCTTCAATATTTATTCTTCTCTGCTTAGTTTCATATTAGAAGTGAACATTAATATGTGGATAGTTTGAAGCAGGTTTGTGCACACTTACTTTTTTTTACCCATATGTAACTCTCATTTTCTTTTTTTTTCTGGTAAAGGCTGCAGATTTTCTAATATGCTAAATTATCTAAAAATCTTTGCATGACTTTGGTGACTGAGAATTTTTTTTGACTGTGAGGCATTTGGTCTGATTTATATTTGAAGGCAGGAAATAAGAAGAAGCATTTTGAAGATGGAATGACATATGATGAATTAGAGGTACCGAGTTTTGTTACATTTAATCAAATTTTTATTTCTTAGTACTTGTTATGCTGGTGTTAGTGAAACTTGATTTGCATGCCTGTCACTTCTAGTGAAGAAAATATTTCTCACACCAGATTTGAATAAAACACACAACTTATAGAGATGTCTCATATAATAACACCACAGTAGAGTTGATTAGACTTTCTTCAGAATATTTATGGGAAAATATTTTTCCACTCTTTACCAAATCCTTAGTTCAATTCAACAATAACTCCAAATACTTATCAATTAGAAAAAATATATGGATAGGCAAAAAGTATTTTCTGGGGCATTTTTTCACCAAAAATTTTTTTAAAAGCTTTAAAGAATCTTCAACGGAGGACTTTTTTTTTAAATATCATAGAAAATTGCTTATTTTGAGTTTGTTGTATATGTATCTTTGTGCTGGTAGCAGAGTTGTAAGGATACCTATTTCAGATTCAGGAAATTAAGTTTTACTTTGTTAACATTCTTATATTTTTGTCTATTGTTATATGAAGGTTCTATGCCAATTTTTAAAGTAACCAGCAGCATTTAATTGGAATTATAGTCTGGGAACATGAAGGGGAAGGGAAGTTTTGACTCAGTAATATATGGGCTCTTTTTCAGTCCTATTTTATTTCTATAGTTGTACTTCAGATCTCTTCCTTTCAGTGTGCTTGGTTTTTTAAATAACTGTATATTGTTTATATACAAGTAAGCTTGCATATCTTATCTTGGCATGGGATATTCACTCAGATGTGGAAGCAAGGAAGTCTTAAGTCTCACTGCACAACCACAGCGAAAGAAACCACAAGACAATTCCTACAAACTTCCCCAGGTAAGTTTTACTCAAAGCTAGAGAATGAGCATCACAAAAGTCTACCCTGTGACTTGCAAAAGGGCTGTCTACTTTCATGGAGATTTTTCTTTAGTTTGACTTAGCACTTTATGCTGTCAGAACACAGGTATAAAACATCAGAAAGGCCACACCAGGTCAGAACATATCTGAGAGAGATACCTGACATTCCACCTCTGACTGGAGTCAAGAAAAGGTGCCTGTGGTTGTGCAAGAATGATTTGAAAGAGTGCAGTCTCAGATAGTGATCTCCTTCCTTCTCCTGTTGGCTTCTCTTTCCTTATCTTTTTTCCAGTCAAAAATGTCCATGCCTGTCCTTTGGAAAATGTGATTTGACAGAACTGAGACACAGCATGGTGATGTGTTCATTTAGTAGAAGATTAAAGAGTAAGCATACAGGCTTGCAAGCTAAGCTGGAGTCCTATGGCTGTCTAGACTTAGAATCAAGATGCATAAAAGACAAGCTAAAATTTTCTAAATTAGCCTGAAGCAGAATGAACAAGATTTAGCCTTACAAAAGAAATGGAAATCTTTGATCTTTTATCTTTATTTTATCAAGGCTATTTTTAAAGGGGTAGAAAAGAGTATTCTGAAGAGTCTTGGTCTTTTGCCTCTGATACCTGAATGCATGATATATAACAAATTGCTCTGTCCTTCCACCTTTCCTCAGCACTGATATGATCCCTTCTCCAGTAATGTGTCCCTAGAGCTTCTGTTCTGAAAATCAACTGCCATCTGTTTACATATAGACTTAAAAAGAAATATTTAATTCCAAGATCAGTCTGCTGTCTTGCCTTTATTTACTCAGGCACATAGTAACAAAAATGTTGAAGACTGGTGCTTGACTAACTGGGGCAAACAGAGGTAAAAGCCTTGGTACTAGGTTAGAGATGCATCATTCAAGGATGAAGATTATGAGCTACTTTGTAGTTCAAGCAGGTGAAATCATGGAAGAAAAGGGGGGAAAAAAAAAACCAAACCAATGAAAAGGGATCTAAGAAAGAGGTATTTCAGAAACTGAAAATAAACTCTTGGGAAAAACACCCAGCATATGATTGTTTTCATAGAAAAAGTTGAGAAATTATCTAGTAGTAGGAACTAAATCTGTGAAAAAATTACAATGTTTCATGATTCACCAGGAAACCTTAATGGAAGGATCCTGGTCAAATCTGCTAGGACAATACAATAACAACACACACAACATACAAAAAATATTTTCAGTTGACCATTTTGGTTATGGTTATGTGGCAAAGAAGTTATGCTCAGGACAAACTACATATTTTAGAAGTACCTTTTCAGATACAAGAAACCTGAAAGATACTTTGTAAGCTGTCTGGGAAAACTGCAGCATTATGAGGTGACATACCTAAGTTTTGTAACTTGTCCTACCTAAAAGAATAACAAATGAATGCTTACTGCAGTTGAAACACATCCACCAGAGATCAGACTGGAAAATAAGGATGGGTTTTCTGGGTTTCTCAACATCAAATAACAATTATCTGTTGCCCAAGTAAAGGCAGTTTAAGAGAAAATCTGTTAGAGAAGCAGAAAACATCCCTGTGTAGGTAGGTAGGGGGCTAAGAACAGTCTAGACTATTGATGTGAAAATGTCCACATAGCAAAGCATGCAGTGAACAGTTAAATTTATGTAACCTGCTCTTTGAAAATTCTTTTTTTTTTCTCCATTGATCATGATGCACTCCTTTGTACAAGATGCACTTGTTAGATGATGATTAGAGTCAAGAAAGGTGCATTATGATGCACATTAGGAGAAATTTATGAAAAGAGTTTGGCTTAGCATCTTCCTTCAGAATAAATGTAAGAAGGGCAATGAGCTGTTTTACAGAATAAAGTTGGTGAGGCAGTATGAGTCGTATGCTGACAAAGAAAAGTGGAGCTAAGTGATCAAAGAGATTTCAATAGCAGCTGAATAGGACATCACAGATCTGTGGATCTGAAATAGAAGCAGCAACTGAAATATTCAGTATTCAGAAAATATCCAGAGGTAACCTTAGAAATGATCATGGGAAGCCATAGAGCAAGGCCAGGAAGCACTGGGGATTTGGAAGCTGGGAGGAAGATTACTGGAGCTATGTGGAAGTTGGGAACATTGAGGGTAATTTGGAAGCTGTGGGTGCCCAAGATCATGAAAAAAAGGCTAAGTTACGGAGTGATAGGGACAACTCTAAGGGTTGTATGACAAAACTTTATGCCTTCTCAATAGGATTATTCATTTAACAACTTTTTATGTTTTTATACTTGCAGGATAGAACAAGCTTTAGAAGAACCAGATCAGCATTTGAAAACAATAGAATCACAGGTCTCAAAATGCAGAGATAATAGGTTTGGACAGATGTGACTGTAATGTTGTCAGCTGCTGCTATTCCATATCAAGCCTCTAATATTTGCTGTTTATCCTTCAAGCCAAAGCCTGTGAAGACCAGTGATTAGAAGCAAATATTAGCTGGTTTTTTTTGGTTTGTAACGGAGATTCTGAGAAAATCTTGAAGTCATGACAAAAAGGTACACTAACAGTTAAAAATACACACAACAAAAATAGCCAGCAACTGTTTATTTTAAATCTCAGATTTTTTATGACCAACTGTTTCAAGACCAGAGCTATGGTTTACTTGTGATACACGGTTTGCATGTGATAACTAAATGATGTAACTGAGGGCAGAAATTGGTCAATGGATTCTTGTAAATTATGATGGTAAAAGGAAGGAATTAAGTAGCTTGAAATTCAGATTGTATTTCCAGAGATCCAACAGGGATTTTGTCAGTTCTTTTAAATCTGGAGCTTTTTTCCCCGACAGATATTTTCCCATAAAAGTATTTTGTAATTGGAAGGGAAAAAACTAAACAAACAAAAACCCTCACCGAATAGTCAGAAGGCATTGTGATACAAAAACTACTAAAGCCCTGAGTTACTCTGACTTTTTTCAGGATGTAACAATTTTTAGTATGAGAACTGTAAGGAAAATCATAAAACAAGCTGTATGCTAAGATTTGCAAAACTGCAGTGCAAAGAAATCAAGATGGGCAAATTTTTTTCAGTTTTATGTAAATCAGAGTCTTTCTGACTTCTGCTTCTGATATTTAGAAGTCTCTTATTTTTCCTTGTCTCTCACACCTTTGCTGGAAGTGCTTCCTGTTGCAGGAGCTGATTCACATATGTTTTCTTAGGTCCAGGTGACTAGCAGCTGTTTCAATCTTTGTCCTAGTTAAACTGACCAATACTTGGTGACAGCTAGGTACCAGAAAAGAGCATTTTCTTGTCCTTTGTTGATTATTACAGCCTATACATCAGGCAAGATTGCTTTTGATTGCAATGAGATGATAGAAGGAAGAAAGCAATTTCCAGCTGTGAGTTTTAATTTCTGTTGTTTGGCAGATTCCTCCCTTATTTTTCTCATTTATAGAATGAGTGTTTGTTTTTTTTTCTTAAGAAAAGTACAAAGCTTCAAGTGAGGATGGCACTAATTTTTGAATTCTGGTCTGCTATTTTAGGCTATGACAACCAAGGGAAAGGCAATCACACTTGGCATGTCAATCACCATTATTTCTTTTGCATGATAGCCTCCATGACTAGTTTTAATGACTGCAGTTTCTAATTTGTAGCTACTTGATAAACACTAATTAGCTATTGGGCATAAAAGTCTTAATGGGCTGAAAAGAAATATCTGGGTATCCTGCTAAGCCAGTAAATAAAGGAATATATAACAATTATGGTGACAAGAGTTTTAACTAGATGCATTAGAGAAAAAAAGAGTGAATCAAGACAATCACCAATTTCACTGTAAGGTTCAGTACTGGAAAATATATATTAAAAATCTGTGGGCAGTCCAAGTTGGTTTTTTGTCTTTTTTCTGGTCCTGCAGACCATATTAAAACTTCTGGTGTTACTGAGTGGACAGTGAAGTACAGTATTCCTTTATTATGTTCTTTTAAAGTAAAATTGCCCTTTTCTGTCTAGCAGTGCTTTTAGTTCTGATAAACTTGAGATCACATTGGCAAATGTTCACAGATTTGAAACCTGCAGCCTTAATGGCAGCTGTGATGTCTTCTCACAGAGTCCAAGGATTTTAGACTAAACAGTTCTAAAAATCACAACAAAATCAGGACAGTGGGCAAAATTTGGAATTGCAAGAAACCCAGAATAAAATGTAGCCAAAATGTAGCCAAAATTAGTCTTTGAAGAAGATGTATGAACTGGAAGAATCACAAGTTTCACTTTGAGATGCTTTATGAGCCTGTGGTGCTGACAGTTAAACTAATTTCTTTTCCATTGTGTAAAAAGAAAATACAAAGAGGGCAAGTGGGTGAGTGGGCCAAAAAACAGTCTTTGTATGCTGAGGTATTGGCAATGTATCAAATACTGGAATAGATTCTAGAATTAGGCTGTGATATGTCAAAATATTTATTTTTTTCATTCTTTTCCGTAAGATGGACCCCTTATTTATATTCCCTCTACAATGATGAGATACTTAGCAAGAAGTGTCTATAATTTGTGCAAGAATCTGGACCACTGAAGAACGGGGATGATAGCAACCCAACTTATTAACCTCCAGCTCCCCAACCCACAACACTTATTTTCCGGTTGTCGACTAAGATATTCAATTTGGTTTGTGGGCTTTTGTTTTTGCTTTTTTGTTGAGGAAGTTCCTTACTGGAATTCAGGTTAAGTTGAAATATTTACTATGCAACAATGGAGTTTATTTAGTCATTAATTATCCTACGGACAGAACATAAATAACCATGTTTTCAAGACCCTGCTCTTTGAAGAAAACACTTATGGCAGGAAAACCGAGGTGGTTCAGAAGTCTTTTATCCAATACAATCTATTTATTTGTACCCATACGAGTTAAAAACAGCTCTGCCTGAAAGCTACGACGTTTTTGTTTTTGTCAGATAGCACTTTTCTCATTGAGCCTATTTCTAAGCAACAATGCACAAAGCCACGGTAAATGGAAAATGCGCAGTGTTTATATAGAATAGGTCGCGGCTTACTTAAGGACAGTTAAAGCAGTTAGAAACCTACCTAACTCCACATATACCTAGCTACAGCTGTATTCGGCACTTGCTTTTTTTAGGTGCCGGTGTCACCTGAACCACATATTCCATGGGCAGCCGAGCCACCGTGAGGATCCT